AAGTAGAAGTTACTGAAGATCCAGTCTACATTTTATCGCTTAAAAGTGTGTAGTCGACTTGAAGTTTTGAAAAGTTGCATACCCAAGGGAGATTACTTTTGTAAAACTTGATTTCCACAGGGAACTCATGGAAGTAGCAACTTCCATCTTACGTTTTTACCTGAAATATCAAAAAAGATCATGTTTTTAAGAAGTTATTTTCCTTTACTAACATAAATGCTTTGAAACAGTGATCCTTGATCACGCGTGGATAAGATGGCTTTGAAAAGGACTACAATCTGAAGAAATAATGTATTAACATTTATTTGCCTGTTTTCCAAACTATTTCAGTTTGTTGAGTGTCGTTCCATTGTATATTTAGCTAAATCATTAAGTGAAGAGTAGAGCATATATGTTGTGGTTTTTAAACAGGTCTGGGCCTGCAAAGTCTTCAGGAATAAGTATGCCTTGACTCTTTCCCTTAATATAAGAATGTCATTGTGTATTGCTTTGCTTGTACCTTACATGTAAGTTCCATCCACCCCACTTCCCCCAAATACCGAATGTAGTACACAAGTAGTTTAAGAGATCCTAGTACTTTAGCCAGTCTACACTGACTCATTTTAATGAAATATGCTATTCCCTTTAGCAGAAATGTTAATTTAAGTTTACATGTCCTCATTTGTCTGTTCCTGGATTTTATTTGACAGCAAGAAAACTATTTCGTCATTAAAAGTTGTAACTTGTTCCTAGGTTTCCCTTTATAAACAAGAGGGAGAAATGTCACGTATTAATGTTTGTGGTCCATTAACATAAAACTCTCAACTTTTTAATATTTTTGTTAATACACATTATTTAGGCAGTTAAACAGTGCTAAAATAGTTGCTGGAGAAAGGAATTGTTGAAGATGTGCAGATTTTATGGTCTTCAGATAATCTTGCTTCCTCTTATTTTTTAGCTAGAAAAAGTCTTGTGAAGTACATGCTTTTTCAGAAGATAGTAGCCATAATTGTATTTGTCCACTTCGAGGGGATTATTTTAGTGTCATTTCTAAATTATTCTAAGCAGGCCAAGACGAACTTTTTTCAGCTGTTTGGATTGTTCTTTAATACATTTAATTGGACAGTTGATCAAATCCCAGACTGCTTTTAGTTATTTTGAGCACAAATGAGTGTAAGATTAAAAGAAGAAAAAAAGGTTCTCTGTGATCCAATACACTGCTTTCAGCAGTGGTTGGTAGTAGATATTTAGGGAAGTTAAAAAAAAAAAAGACAGGGCAAGTACATAGCAATGATTGTGTAAAATATTCTCCCAGCCTTCAATGATTGCTGTTCACGGATACAACTCCATCTTAAAATGGCTTTAAAAGGGCTGTAGGATCTGTGTTCGGACACTCAGTTCAGCACATTTAGCTAGTGTCAGATATTAAAACTAGATGTTCTTTTAAGGGTCTGTTAATAAAACTCAATCAAACTTTTTTGTTATTGTTTTTAAATCATTTAAGAAGGAGGTAAGATGTAAACCTCTGCTTAAGCGTGATGTTTTAGATCTCAAGTTTGGGGTGCATTGTTCATATGGCCCCAAAATTACGATCTTGTTATGCTGAAATGGGTACAGAGCTATCCATTGAAATCCATTTTTCTTGCTTGATCAGTGAATCATTTTAAATACATGCTTTTTATATTTTTTTACTCTTGAGTGTTACTGAGGATATCTTAGACATAACCTTTGAAAAATACATTTATATTTGATTGTAGTTTTAAAAAAAAAAAAAAAACCAAAAACAAGGACCTATAACTTGAGCAGAACTGCATTGACTTTTTGTAAACTATTTCTTGGGCATTCACTTAGTGCCCCCAAAACTGTTTAGGAATGAGTGAAGAACCACAAAGTCACAAAAGTTAAAATCGGTAGAATTGAGTAGTATGGAAAAAAAATGCAAAGGGAACCTCTTCAGAAGAAGGAAAACAGTACTGAGTTCTTTTTTTCCTGAGTTAAGCTCTTACATTAGTCTTTGTTCAAACATGGAATTTTCTGAAGATGAGCTATGTTTTCCATGATATAACAGCGTAAAGTAATTTCTTGTAGACGGTTATCATATGATTTTTTTCTGGTTGTATGGTAATGCTACTAACCGCGTGTTAATGATTGACCTGCCAAAGCAGCATGACAGATCTCCTTGGCCTTCTGTAAGCCCTCATTGACTACACTGATATAAAAAAATTTCTGGTAACACTGATGCTGTAAGGAGAAACTGTAACACTCTGTAACCCACTCCTTGGGTCCGATTCATTGGGGTAATGGTGGTCAGTTACTATCCTTGCAGCCTGCCAGAGGAATACGCATGATCTGGACTGAGAAATAACTAAACTTGAATAGAATTTCAAGGGCAAGTAATAGCCATGGGGCCATGGGTTTAGGTCAGTTTCAAAGGTCAATAATTAATTTGGTAAGATATCTCAAGCTAGACTTATTCCTGCAATTCTGTAAGGCTTGGGAAATGTCAGAAGTTTCATAAACCATCACCATAGCTTCTACTTGGAGCTGAGAAATGCTGTTGTCTGAATAGCTGGATTCTGTCATACAAACCAACTTCTGAGGGAGCTTGATATATTTTAGAAGTCTGTGAATGTTTATGGATTTGTATGGCCCAGACTTTCAGTCCCAAGGTCAAGGCATGAACTGCAAACAGACTTCATTAGATTGCTCTTGGCGTTGACGTGAAACTTTTTATCAGGTTTTTTGTGGTACTGCTTATACTGGTGAGGTAAGGTCTAGGAGAAACAATATGTTTCTGCTAAACTTGATGATAAAAGTGAGTTCTTGGCTGAATTGTGTGCTTGTCAAAAGAAGGGGCGTCACTGAAGTTGAAGAGAGTTAGCAAATAAGCTGTATTTTAGGTAGGCGATGATTTAAGAATGTAGAGAACAGAGATTGACAAGTCATCGGGTGTCTCAAGTGCTGATATTCAAGTAGGCTGTCCATAAATCCTTCAACAAATTGTAGACAGCAAATTGATCTGTCAATGGTGTCATTGCAACCAAATGTGAAAGTGAAATAAATGTGGAACTGACTGCAGGGTGGATAATCATGATTGCTTCCTTCCAGCCTAGTGTCTGCAAACAGGACTTCTGAGTAAGATTTTTGTATCTTTCATTTGTTTAAGATTTAGTCGGGTGTCTAATGTCTTACTAAGATCTTCTGACCAAACTAAAAACTGACATGCTGAATCTCTTAGCTGAAACTATTTTCATTATTTTTAGTTCAATTAACTAAATATAGGATGTGATTATAAACAAGTAGAAAAATTATTATTTATGCAGTAAATATAGGCAGAAGGTGTTCTTTTATGTCGTTAATGAAATTACATGTCTTTAAAGTGTAGCTCATTCTTAAATATTAACTAACTGGTAGCTGTGTAGTACTGCAATCTGTGAAATGGGTAAAAGTTGCATGACTTCATTTGGGCGCAGACTTCCTCACTTACTCGTATTAAACAAGACTGTTCATTGATTACAATCTCTAAGGACAGATTCTCTAATACTGAGTTCTAGCAATCATCCTTTCAAAATAAGTAACTACAAAAAGTCTTTAATGACACACAGCACTACGAGTGATTGGAAGGTGCTCCAGGAAAGCAATAACATCTAAATTACTGTATTTCAACTGGGGCATTGTGGCTTCCCCTGAGCATAAAAAAAAAAGATGATTTCTGACAAACATATTGTTATAGGGCTTTATGCACTCCCTGAATTTGCAGGAAAGGAACTGTCACAAAGTATAAGTAATAACTTTTCTCAAAGATTCAGGGCTTGCTTAGATTTTGATGTGTAGATCTTCATTGAGTATAACCTTCTTCATTAGATAATAGCAGTGTTTGACACTGGATTAAATTGTAGAATTGTCATGCAAATAATACGCATCTCGCCTAATGTAAGAAAACCAGTAACAAAGGGCTTACTGGATAAGATGATCAGGGTTTAGGAGCAGTAAGTGGGTGTTAGGAGATCAAAGGCAGAGAGAGGGGTTTGTAAGAAGAAAGGAGTCTTGGACTTGAAAATCCCTTAATGACACCTATCTTGTAGTTTGTTTTTTCTAACAGATAACCCATTGACTATACGGTAGAATAATATTTTGTTCTAACTTTGATTCAGTGCAGTTCAAACAGTCTGTGCTCTACAGAGGGAACTAGAGAACATGGAAGCTGGAACTCTTTGCCTTTATGATGCATGTTAATTCTCTCTTTTCCTCTGATAAAATTTGAATCTCAGTTCCTGTCAAGATCTGTATATTCTGCTGGTCTGGCTCAAGGGTTAGGGAAGTGTGACTCAGGGAACCTACTGGGCGGTGTGCCCTGGAGATCTGTGAGCGCCTGTCAACTTGAGCTTCTGCCTCCTTGGCTGCTATTCTAAGGGTTTATCCATTATGTAATGCATGTGTAGTTTAGTGTAGCATAATTATGTCTAAATTAGCATGCAGTGGCAGCCTTGAAAACACCCAAGGGCAAAACTAGTAAGCAGATGTTGATAGCTTTTTGTTCTAGGTTTCATTGGATGTTTAGCTTATTACACGACAAGGCAGTCATCAGCACCCCTCTTAGTAATTCTTTGAGAGGGTTTGATGTACTGTCTCAGTAAATAGAATATTATTTTCAGTTCCTGTGGGACTCACTGTGGAAGTTTCTTTGTGCTGTGAGAGAACATTTATATGCAAAATTATATTTTAATAATTTTTATGACAGGTAATGAAAACTGTGACATCACTTACAGACTGGTTCTGTCCTGAAGTTGTTTACAGAGGAGTACATGTCTTAGCATTTACAACTTCGTGGTGGTCAGGTGACTTTCTCTGACCTCTCTGCTTATTTGGTTTTAGATTAGTCCTCATAAAAGGAAAACTTACTTTTTTGACTTTGCAGACTATTGACAAAAATGTGTATGCAGTAGCAATGCGGAAGAAGTTGTAGTTGTTTCAGAACAGTATCCTGCGTTTTATTTCATAGATTTGTTTTGTTGTCTTTTACAGTGTAAAGGAAATGAAGATGGGGAGACAGTTATTGTTGAAAAAGACCACTTCATGGATGACTTTTTCCAACAGGTAAAGTTACAGTTTTCTCTCCATGCCTTTTAATTTCTGTAATTAGGTTTAACAATTCATCTCCATACACACACCCCGCAATATGCTTTGTAATGGTGTGCCAAATCAAATGTTGGTAACACTTTGGCATGTTTATTTCGGGGTATGTTTTGTCTTTACTGAATGGAAGTGTTTTTTAACTCCCTATCAACAAAGAATTTGCTTACAGAATTTTAAAATCTTTTTTATTAAGAGTAGCAGCACTTAAGTTTTTGGACATACAGAATACATTTGCTATTAATGATACAATTTTTTCTAAAAAAAAAAATGCAGCCTGTTTAAATGTCAACATTTCTGCTGGGATTTGTGTCAGATACATACAAATGTTGCAATTAAATACTTTACCATTTTTATTACCAAAAATTTTTTTTTTTTTTTTTTTTTTTTTCAAATCTTTGCCCTGAATTATTCTAGCGTTTTTATTGCCATATTTCTCTTCCTCTAGGTTGAGGAACTTAGAAATAATATAGCAAAAATAGCACAAAATGTGGAAGAAGTAAAGAAGCAGCACAGCATTATCCTGTCAGCGCCAAATCCTGAAGGAAGTGAGTATCACTTTTTTTAGATTTCAGATATTTGTGGATAGATATTCTGAAATAAATTTTGTTTGGTTTAGCTATCTATAGGAATAGAACTTCAGGTTTTCAGAATGCAGAATGTAACACAATTCATTTATTTAAGTATTCCCATATTTAATATTGAATTAATATTTTCATTTGCTTATTTTTTACCCTTTTTTAAGTCTCATTTGAATAAATACATTTTCAGAATATTTGTTGCATCATCCAAACATTTGCTAGACCAAAACTCAGCTTAATAAGGTACCTTGAAATTGGCTGTGTCTTTAGAAACTTAGAGGCTACTTATATTTCTTCTAATTTGTGAAAATGTTGACGTTGTCAACAGAAGCTCATATGGTAGAGCTATCATCTTCTCTTTATTCCTCAGTAGGGGCAAGATTGTGTCTAACACTACCACTACAGCCAGCTGCTTCAGCAGTATTAAGAGTTCCATGCTGGAGCCCTATTTTTAGAGGCTGTAACCCCAAAACTTGAAAGTAAAGATGTGCTTTCTGAACAGAGAACTCAAAAGTTTAGGGACTTGCCCAGAAACATGGAACCTTCCCTGTTCTCAACACTCCTTAATTCAAGGCATGCCTGGGTTTGTGGGCAGGGTTTAAAGAAAAGGGAAGAAAAGATGCTGAGGTATTTTTGTGGAAGTTGCAATGCTATCTTAACATTTATCATCTTGCTGGTGAAAACTTAACTTTGGGTGTTAGTTTTTCTTTTCCCCGTATTTTCTTTGTTTATAGGTGGGCGTATGTTTGTATTCTTACAAATGATTTTGCAGACTGCTTTTTATCTTAACAACCATATACAGTCAATAAATCTCAGATTTAACAAGGGTTCATCTGGATGTTTAAAATCTGTGGTCTCAGCTCATTGGATTGTGTTTGTGTTAAAAATTGCGCTCAATAATGCATCTGAATTGTGTAGGAACATGACATTGCTTCTAAGTAACGTATGGTCTTGTGAATCTAGTGCCTTCAGTAAACCCAGTAACGGAGATCTAGTTAAGTTCTTCATGAATACTCTTTATAGTGTTCTTCAAAAAAATATAGGTAGTGCATGGTACAGTTGTTAATAAGAGTAAAAGCAATGAGTCCGTGATAAACAACAGAACTAAAAAAATGTGAGATAAATCTGTATTTTCACTTGATAGACTTTGGTGAATTTTCATTTCGACCAGCAAGTGATTATTACCCTGAAAGTGTTATATTTAAAAAAAAAAAAAAGTGGAATATTCTATCACGTGGTTTAGTTGGTGATTTGGTAGTAACATTTCCCAAGTGTAAGGGCCTGTCATAAGAAGCAGGAATCTGATAGTATGCTGTTATAAAAATAATACAATACTTAAAGTACTTAGAAGTATAATAAGCTGCTTCTCTCCATGGTTGCTCTGAATACAATTATGAGATTGCAAGGTAGAGTTGTAGATGGTTGCTGGCCTACTATTATCAATCATTAACAGTTCTAAAAAAAAAAAAAACCACTTTTTCTTTTTTTTGAAGGAACAAAGGAAGAACTTGAAGAACTAAATGAGGAAATAAAGAAGATTGCTAATAAAATCCGAGCCAAATTAAAGGGTAAGTTGTGGGGAGAAATAAAGCTACTGTCGCTTGTAATGATTCAGGATGGTAGCAGTGTTACAACCTTAATGCATTGCAGCTGAACTTCTAAACTTTAAAAGCTGCATTATATATGCATAAATTGTATCATACAGCTTTTAAAAAAAAAAAAAAAAAGAGAGACAACCACCTCCCTACCAACTAGTGTGGAGCCCATGTCAGTAACAGTATCGTCCTCTACTTTATTCCTCCTTGCCAAGCTTCACCGCTCATAAATATCAGGTCTCAGCACAGCCTAGTTTGTGGGACAGGACAAAGAGCTTGCTTGCTTTCAGAAATAACCTAGAAAATTACAATGCAAAGTAACTTCTCTGTGTAGAAATGTATTCTGCAACTGAAATGCTGTTTTTTGATCATGATGTTTTGGAAAAAGATAAACTTTAACTTCGAAAAGACAGTCTCCATGGCGTAAATGTCTACATAGGGAATTGCTCTAGAGCACCTATTGTATTTTAAATTCAGACTAGCTAATTTTCCTGTGGCTTTCCCCTGTGAGTGTGTCTTAATTGCGTAGCATAGGTTTTGAAATATATTGAGTGTTTTAATGTCCTTCCATAAACACTGGGGTATGGTGTTTATTGTTTAAATTGTAAGAGCAGCCCATTTTGTTATACCTTTTGAACTTTCTCCAGAGTAATAGACAGTAGTAGTGCGACTCTCTTAAGAGTATTGAAGTAGTTACTGTGTTTTAAGATCTGTACCAATTACCAAAATTATTTTAAATTTATATATATTCCTCTCTCTCTATATAACTGCCACCTTCCTCCTCCCCCTGAACTGTTAAACATGTCTATGGGGAGCTTGTCCATGAAAAAAGTAATAATTAATAGTATTTACAAAATAACTGAGCTACACTTAAATAATTATACTGAATGTTGACTCATAATGTGCTTGTATTGTTCTTAGCTATTGAACAAAGTTTTGATCAGGGTGAAAATGCTAATCGGACATCAGTGGACCTCAGGATAAGAAAAACACAGGTATGATTGCTTCAGTTCGAAGAAAATAAAAGGATTCTAGTAAATCAGAGAATGAGTTTCACTTTTCTGAAATAGCTTCAGAGCTTCATGTTCTGTTTTCTTGGAATGTAAATACCACTTTCAGTTGTTGTGCAGTAGTATTTGCTGTATCAAAAAAAAATAAATGTTTTTGTTCCACATTTTTAAATCCTCAAAAAACAGCACTCTGTATTAGCTCACAAGTTTGTGGAGGTCATGACGGAATACAACGAGACCCAAACTCTCTTTCGAGAACGCAGCAAAGGTCGGATACAGAGACAATTAGAGATAAGTAAGTGACCTGAATACACTTTTATTAAAAAGATTAATTGTGTTGTTAGTACCTCCCTTGTTTCTTATTTCTTAAAGATGGTACAAAGCATCATACCTCTTGGACATCTTGAAGCATGTGAGGGGAAAAAAACAATTTTATTGTATGGCATAAACTCTTTGATACTACTCTTCAGAACAGCTGTAAAGAAAATGGAGAAAACTCACTAAATAATTTCTTTTATATTGAAAATTATTAAAGAAAATAACCTTTTAGCTTTGTTTCATTTATTTCCAATGTTGCAACTTGAAATGAAACATTAAGAAAAGCTGCGTTCTGAAGATAGCAAGTGTTATTAGAAAGCATTCCAAAATTAACATGCTAAACAGGACAATTTCTCTTTTTATGCTATTCTATTTTTCTTAAGAAGAACATTTGTTAAATTCAGCTGGCATAAAATCAGTGCTGCCCTTATATGTACTCTAATCATTTGTTGACTGACTCACATTTGACTTATTTCATCACTGATTATTATGAGGAGTATTCAAAAGGTACGCGACTCGACTCTGAACTACAGCATCTACCTTGGAAAGTGTCTTAAAAAAAAAAACCAACCAAACAAACCATAACATGTTGTACCTAAAATTAGCCTTTTTGAATATCTCCTGTAAAAGCAAATACATACATTGCTGAAATAGGAAATGGAAACAGAAAAGTTGGCAAATTACAAGAAGACTTTGCTTTTCATGGACTTCTCAAATTTGTCATTAGCCTCTCATGCTAATGGTTCAATTGAACATTTCAGTAAAGTTTATCATGCAAGTTAGATTCTTCCTTACCTGTATGTTTGAGGAGAAGGGACCCTAACACCTCAGGACATAGTTCTTTTAAGTTCATCTTGTTATGGCCCAATTAGAGCCTTCTGCTTTCCCTCAGCACTAAAAATTTTAAAGCAGGTTTTACAGCATTCTTGGGTATTAACGTCAGAAAGTAGTATTCAGATTAACTTTTATCTGATAGGACTGAATTATACAAGTTATTACTGACATTCAACTTGTTTTACATGGGAAGAACAGGGATTTGATATGTAAATTTTAAAATTGTAATACACATCACTTCAATGTGTTGTGTAACTCAAAACACTTCAATTTGTCATACCAGTGTGATTGATAGGATTCAGCTTGCTTAAACATGCAATAATAAACTACATCAATTGTTAGATGTATTAAGAAAAGTAGAAGCGAAGGTACACTATGGGTGATCATCTTCTCTATGTAAAATATGAATGTAATCCTGTGTTGGTAAAATCAAATTTACATAAAGATTTTATTGCCCACACAGTGGTGGGGAGTGAGTAAATTAGGCACCAATGTGACATAATTGAATAGGTAAATATTGAATGTTCTATAAATACTCTGTATCTCAAGTTCTTCCTTCTGAAGAACACTCCACTTAACAAGGTTCATAGGTACATTGTAAATGTGTCTGATCAAACTCTTCAATTTGACCAAAAAACCCTCCCAGCAACCAGGAATTCTTCATCGTAGCTTTGAGTCTACATTTGTTTTCTATTACTTGATATTTTCTGGTTTTTTCATATGCAAAATAGCACTTGGTAATGACTAAACACCACATTGTTTTAGCCTGAAAAATACTCAATATGAGATTTTTCTTTGAATTGTCATCCTTCTGGTATGGTAAAATTTTATGTTCAATGATGAACTAGTGATGTTATATGAAGTACTGTTGTTTTTTTCCTAGCTGGAAAGACCACCACTGATGAGGAACTGGAAGAAATGTTAGAGAGTGGTAATCCTTCAATTTTCACTTCTGATGTATGTATTTCTGGTCCAGTTATGTATGTCTCCTGTTCTGCTGCTTCTGCTATTTGGAAGTGTGTCAGCACCTACTTATTTATGTCCATATCTTTTTTTGCTCTCCCGAAGATTATATCAGACTCTCAAATAACTAGGCAAGCTCTGAATGAAATTGAGTCACGTCACAAGGATATTATGAAACTGGAATCTAGCATACGGGAACTACATGAAATGTTTATGGACATGGCAATGTTTGTTGAGACTCAGGTAAATGAACCAATTCAAACACATTTATGTAAGTGGGATTTTTTTTCCCCCCGTCTTCCTCTTTGAATATGCAGAGACAATTGCTTATGTTCAGGTAATACAGACTTAAAGTGGGTTTTGACTGTGATTAGAAAGTATGTAAGTTAATCACTAAAGGGTTTTTGTTTCGTTTTAGGCAAACTTACAATTTAGATGTACTCATAGTATATGCTATGAATAACTAAGCATAGACTTTCTTTTGAGTTATTATACTTGATATTTCTTTCAACATGCTTATATTGCAATATGCTTGAACATTTTGTGCGTGTTTAAGTAAGAGCAACTCTTTCTTGGAACATTGGCTAATATCTTGGGAATTTAGGATTTTCACAGACATGGTAACGGACTACTGTGGTAGAATAAAATGTGCGTTAGCAAGGATGTATGCAACTTGCACATAATACAAAGGTATGATTACTGTTATAACTAACACGAGTGTAAAGGGATTGACAAGTCATTCAAGTTGTCTCACGTTCATAAGCTTTGTCTTGCCATGTATGTAAGGTCACTCTATTTGTAGTCTTTACATACCAATTCTCTAACAAAAATATTTTTAACTTCTGTTCTTAAAATTCTTTGACTTATGCAGGAAAGTGAAAAGAATAATGTTCAGGAGAGAAACTTTCCTGAAAAGGACTATTTTTTATTTTTTTTTTTTAATTGGGTTTTGTTCTAGAAGTCCTGTGTTGCTTTGTTATTAAATATATAGCCAAGGCAAATTGGTAGCAGTTTTCTTTTGAATTAGAAATGAACAAAAGTTACTTGCACATCATTCTTTAATGCTTTGCTGTTTACTGCTGCTGATTATTTCTTCTGATGGACAGAAACACAGGTAATAGACTTACTGTAATTTTTCACCAATCCTCCATTTCATTACCAAATTTCATTCTTCATAATTAATTTGAGTTTGTTATGTATTGACATTCTAAACCCTCAATTCTTAGGAACTTTTGAACTTGCTATTATATGTGTGCATTTTCTTAGGCAACTGTTGAACCTTGTGTCAAAATAGTCAATATCCTTTCCCACTTCCAGGCACGTCAGGGATTTCCGATCTCTTTAGTATGTCAGTTTTAGTTTGGCTGTTAAAACATACCTCATGTTCAAAGGTATGTTTTCAGGTGTTCAGTATTTGTTCCTGCAAAAGGGAGAAATATGCCTGCCTTCCCCATGAATGTTCCTTGTTTGGTTAGAACTTTGAGCTTTTGCTTCTCATTCCCTTTTTCCTTTACATGTCAAAGCAGAAAAAATGCCAGCCACTAATATGTACATTATTCACATGTTTAAAATAATTGTTGATGTTCTCTAGCCTTTCTTCTCTTAAGTTCATTAACCAAGGATCCATGGATTCCAATAATGAATTTTTTTTTTTTTTTTTCAAAATTTAATTTTAAGGGTGAAATGATCAACAACATAGAAAAGAACGTGATGAATGCATCAGATTACGTGGAACATGCAAAAGAAGAGACAAAAAAGGCAGTTAAATATCAAAGTAAAGCACGAAGGGTATGCTATCTTTCTGCAATTGTGCTAGTCAGTGTATTAACTTAGCACAGTATGAAGCAACTGTCAGTTTCAGTTGATTGTTGTTGTTGTATTCAGTCCATCAAGGTAGCATTAATATATGCGATTTACTTCCTTGTAGTTGTGATAATTAAAATTGGAATAGAAAACATTGTTATAAATTAGTATGTGACAGAGGAAGATTTACCAAAGGATTTTACAACCAACCAAACCCCCCCATAATCTGGAGGAAATCAGAACATTTCCAATGTGGATTAAGTTGTTATAGTTAATATTAAAAATTGCTATTACCAGTAGAGGACAAGAGAAACATCTTGTACTACAAAAACAGATAAGCAATTAATGCACAGCTAACCTATGTTCACAATTTTCCACTTAAAAAGCTGTCATTACGAAATGTAAAAACCCCAAAAGAAGAATTACTATATTATGCTAGTAGATAAATTCACAAGTTCTTCTTATCAACTACCATGATACCGTAAATTATTCAGAGTCTAAATAATCTTAAAGGGTTTTGGATCTTTATCACTGGTAAACTTACCTGGATTCATAGCTATAAAATCACCATGTTAGCAGGAAAAATAAAGTTACTAGTTTCGCTGAAGCACACTTACTTTTTTAGAATTTCATCTGTAATTATTCTTTTCACAGATAAGCACTTTTGTACTTTTGTAAAAGTACTAGATTAGGGGGATCTTCCCTCTGGGAAGCATGTGCCGTTAAACAATGACACTCAATTTTGTGGAGGAGTTGAGTTCAAAGTAACGTTCAGGCATTTTTCCATTGGCATGGAAACTTGTTTTGTGTTTCGGTATCTTTCTTCCCATCAGAAAGCCAAATAATGTATTCTGAAATCAAACTACTAAGTAATTTATTTTTATATTTTGTAACTGTATGATTGCAGATTGAATGAAGTGTTCCTCTGACATTATAATTTCCCCTTTTTAGATGCAGTGCAATTTTGTGAGGCTTTTTATGGCGAGTTGGATTTGAGGGAATAATATATCTTTACATAGATAGACAGATATCTACATATAGATAACACACTTGTTATGTTTTAAAAAAAATTAAGAAATGTCAAAAGAGCCACATAATGTATTTATAAATGGTGGTTTTCTCATCTTTGATAACTATATAGGTATTAATCACACTAGTTTACCTGTAAACACTGTTTAAAAATGTTTATTCTTATGCAAGCAAGAGTATACAGATAAATTTATCTCAATTTGAGAACACTGCAGGCTTCAATAAAAATGAGTGTGGATCTAAAAACTGACTATATTAAATATTGAAAATAAATGCAAGTCTTAATGTGCTTTATGTTAAAATAATAATACCTTGTTTTTTGACAGAAAATGTGGATAATTATCATTGTGTCATTGGTGTTGATTGCCATAATTGGTCTAATTATTGGTTTGTCTGTTGGTATTCGGTGATGCTTGGATAACCTCAGCATTCATGACTTCCTGCCAATGCGGCAGTAAGTAACTAATCAACTAATTTTGCTCTTGTTTTGCGCTGGTAACTTGTATTGTTCTACTAACCCTTAATATCTGTACAGTTAGTATTGGAGGGGGTAGGCTTGAGATGCTTTGATGGATCCTCTCTCTCTCTCTGCATGCTATAAAAGTGCTATGCATGTGAATATTGAAAACTGACATCTAGTGGTAAGCTGCTAAGTTTACAGACTGCATTCATGGCATAAGACTCATAAATGCAGAAGGAAATGAGACCAAAAGATCCAATTATTGTCTTGCGGACCTTTTGAAATTTTTTTTTATGCTGAAAGTTCACATCAGCAAACAGTCTGCACTGAGATGTGAAATACTAGTTACACCTGGAACTTTATCAAATGGGGTTTCTATGTTTTTTCATAGAACCAGATGTCTACAGCCATGAAGTTGGCTATTATTCCTTGCAGAACATCTTAAAATTTCTTACTTTGAAGCTGTTTATTAATGCTAGACTAAATGAAACAGTGGGAAATAACGATGTGTTTGTAAAAGAAAGGCTGCAAAGATTCCAACTGGAATTTTAGGACATAAATTTGAGAATTCTTGCAATGTTCAGATTTCGCTGTACTAACCTGCCATTTCTTGTCAAGATAACACCTAGCCAGGCAAAGTAGAAAATAGCAGTTAACTCTTCTGAGTCCAATAGAAACTCAACTTTTATATGTAGTATCTTCAAACTATACATGAAGTGCTATGAGTAGAATGTCATTTCAGACAGCTAATCAGGAATTCAGTTTTCTGTACTAACACTCCTTTAATATTGAAATTTTTAGTTTTGATGTTACAGTTTCTTCTCAGTTTTGGTTTATGGGCAGATAACAGGATTTATTGTATCATTGCTTATAGTCAGAAATACCTGACTGTATGTATGTCGGGCTTTGATGCGTTTACATAGAACCCATCTCTCCCCCCCCCCCGCCTTGCAGCTTTTCTGAGCTATTACCTGCACAGTGTTTTTATTGATGTTTTGTTACATTCCACTAAGTGTACAGTTGTAAAGGTTTGAGCAGGCTACAAATATTTATTCAAGGAGGATGGCAGTAAGCAATGTTACTGTACTTAGACTTGACCTTGATAAGTAAATGTTCACTATTGCATCTGTTTCTGTATGTAATGATAATTACAGAAGTTGGATGTGAATAATAACAATTATTCTGTGAAGTAAAATACAAAAATTTTATACAGATAGCTCTATCTTGTAACTATGGTTACATGTATGTTAGAAAAGAAAGACTAGAAACGGGAAATAGCAGTAAGTATTCTTCAGAAAAAAAAACCAAACACTCAGATTAGGTGTCAGTATTATTAATTTTCTGTGGCTATGCATGTATTTAAACAGTTCTGTATCTGACAAGGTATTTCAATCTCAACTTTTCTCTTTTTTTGCAGAAATTGATGTTCATAATTATATGTGTAACTGTATTGCTTCTGATACTTGGAATTATCCTAGCAACAACACTATCATAGCAAGCACATTCCAAGAGTTACAAACCTTCAGAAACTCCAAAATACATCTTCAGTAAAGCCAAACCTTTTTTAATAAATGATGCCTTACACTGTTCCATGATGATGACCTACCACTAATGGTTAAAAATTACAACAAAATCACTCTTAATGTTTACTCATAAATGAAGATAAGAATGTATTAGGATATGAATGGATTTTCATCATAAACTATACATGTGTAAGACTGAAACTTGCTCTTAATTGTTTTGAACTAAAGTAACAGGATTTTTTGCATATCTCAGTGTTACAAACAGTTTAAATAGGGAGTTGAGAGACTATTGAGTTTTGACTGTTTGGCTTTTTTACTATTGCTAATATAATTCTAATCATGAATTTTAGTACCTTACCAGTGCTGCTTTTGTTAGCACTCTTGTGAACTTTTCTGAGATGTAGGCTTGTCTTTAAGTGTATTAATTATTTAGTCACTGTAACCTATCTAAGCTTTATACTTAAAATTTTTTTCTCCAACAAATGCTAAAATATTTTATCCTGAAAAGACTACTTATTTAACTGTCTGCCTATTGCATTACACTTGAGAAGGAAAAAAAAAAAAAAAAGGTTTTTTTACACTTTCCAGGTTGGTTGTGGTTTTTGGTTTTTGTTGTTGGTTTTTGTTGTTGTTGGTTTTTTTTCCTTTCAATATGACTGAGGTTAATTGCTTTAAATATTTCCTTGCTTTTCTAATAAAAAGTTAGTTGCAACATTTCTGGTAAAAGAATGCAGTAATGAAGCACACCAAATTTGAACCTCTGCAGATAATTTTACAAATAATCCTTGTGCAAAGGAAACTGATGGATGAGCTTAGCCTTATTGTTCATATGAATATGGCAAAAATCACACTTTTTTTCTGTATGAAGCCAAGTCAAGATTTCTTATTCAGAAGCTTGCTAATGTTGATGTGTGAATATAGCACATAGGGATAAACTCCCTCAGGAAAGTCTGAAACATAATGCAAACTAAGACACTGATTTGTTATGAAATTTGTGTTATATAACATACATGAAGTGTTTTAGTATATGCGTACTGGTTGTAATGCTAGCTTGCAAGACTTGAAAGCTTGAAAGACTTCCAATGTAACCAAATAACTGCATTTAATGTTACAGGTTATTTTTGTATTTTGTGTGTAAAATATTTGTAACGTGAATTTTTGACTTCTCATTTTTTTAAGGATATCTATGTAGATATGTAGATATATTTACACTGTAAGAGAATTAGAGGAAAGTATAATGTGTGCCTTTTTAAACACAGTCTAATACTACACTTGTCAATGTTTCCAAACATTCAGCTATAATGTTAACTGCAATAACTCGGTTCTAAAAGGTTGCAATCCTTAAACTTAACGTTTTGTTCAAAGTGTCTGAGATCGAAGTTACTCAGTAAACTATAATTCAGTCTGTTGACTTAATGAAATTCTGCAAAGTTTACAATTTATATTGTATGTATGACTATTCTTGCTTTGCTGTCCAAATATACTGTGAATGTGCTGGAGCTATTCAGATGTCAAACATGTTTAAAAAAGAAAAAAAAATTATTATTGGATTTTTTGCAAGTCAGCCATAAAGAAGTCTTCATTCGGCTTCATTAATGAACAAATTTCTTTACCTCTAAGTCCAGAACACTCACTGATGTTTGTGAGGAAGTTTACATGCAAAGTAAGGAAAGATTGGTTGCCTTAGTACTCGTTCTAGGTAAAATATATTTTTATTCTATAGTTTTCTAGATTTTTATCAGTAAATATTATTTATACAGATACACAAATTAGACTGGGGGGGAAAAATCAGTTCTTCTGTTTAACAGCTGGTTACCTAAAATGACCCCCAAAATCCCATCATGTTGATTTTTTTTTTAATTTATAATGCAATAATCTGCCCATAGAGACCAGAAATTTGAATAGGCCACTCCATACTTTTACTTGTTATATAGCTGCCTTAATGAGTTTGTTTTAAAACAAAACAAAACTTGTTTTTCACGTGAACTTCTTTGTTAATATTGGAGGGGAGTAAATCTCTAACCTATGCACTAATAAATTTATCTAAGCAAGTATCTTGTGGCTACTATTTTTGTATTCATGATGTTATTGTGACCTTTGTGAATATTTCCAGTAAGTGTTTGAATAAGGCTGGTATGTTTTTGCAACGACTTATGTCAAACAACCGATACCTCGGTCTTAGAGTAAAGGTAACGTATTTCCTGAAACATTTTACCAAAAAAGGTGTAGAGGTGATCAAAGTAGGTGTAGCGATAATTATGAAGACTTTAATGGGATTTATTAATTTAAACTATGCACATGGAATTTTGCTTTAATATTAAACTTGAAAAATATGGGAGTTATTTATCTGAATAAAGCTATTCATGTATTGTCAAAAATTCCTCATAAAAGTGCGTCTTTCACAGTGCAGAATTAAAATAACTTTCTCTTACCTGCCTATACCAGAATTGGAAGTTCTGGAATGGATTCGGGGTTCTGATGTAGAGGTGGTAACCGGAGTCACTCCCCCTGTGCCGATGTTTAAACTTAGTTTAGATTGCCACCCCGACAGCTTTTTGCTGGCGTGGCACTGAGTGGTGTCATCCCACTGGTGATGGTGGTCTCCAGCAGCAGCGGTGAGCAGGAGCAAGCAGCCTGCTCGGAGCTGACAGCCCTGGTGGATGCAAGGGATGGGACCGGTGGGGAGGAACGGCTGGCACCTGCACGGGACAGCACAGGGACTGGTGCTCGTCTCCTGGTGCCTCTTCTCCCTCATCTTCCTCCTCCTTATATCACCTATTGAGGTACATGAGCCTTTCAGGTGGTCAGTGCTCTAGCAAATGCAATGCAGGTGTCAGTATGGTAGTGTATAAGGGGAAAGATTGGTTGCGCTCATCCTTTCGTGTGGGGGCTTTTTCGGAGAAATTTTGAGGTAAGAAGGCCTGAGGTTTCATTTGCTTTCATTTGAGTCGGTGCTATCTTCGTACAGAAGTAAATTGTCGTTGCAACTTCTGTAACGGTGTAACACACCAGTGAGGATATGCGTGCAGAGTTAATACCAAAGCACTTGGAAATTGGCCAACTGTAAGATAATTGAGCAGTTATGCTTAGTTTGATACTTCTTTGTGGTGTTGGGAAAATTGGATAGGAGCGAGACTGTTGAACCCGGCAATTAATAAGGCAAAGTTGTCCATAAAGGCAAACCAAGAAAGTAAAATCTTAGCATAGGGAAAATGTTAAATGGCTGTTCTTACAAAGATCTGTACAACCAAAACGCTCAGGTTATTTCTAAGTGCTGGTATCTCTGCTGCTTCTCACAATAGTGCCATACCGCCTGTGGAAAAAGTACTGAATCTGAACATAAATGAACTCGATAGAAGGAACTAGAGCTGTTTCAAAAATTAATCTGTCTTTATTCTGCTTCTCTTTGTTCTGTAGTGTAACATGCAGAACAGACGTTTCTAGGCAATGGAGGATTTGTTTAGCATAGCACTACGTGAGTTTTGATGAATACAAGCCTGATAAATAAAATTTGGAAGACAAAGGGAAATGAGGGAACTGCTGCCTATGAGGAGGGATGGTTTTTCTATATAAAAATGATATTATTTAAAAAAACCCACACCCTTTCAGACAGTTGTGCTTAATGTAGTTTTGAGAGAACAGTTTGGATGTGGGTTTTGGTTTGGTTTGGGGTTTTTTTTTGTGGCGGGGGGGGGCGAATAGAGGTTTAAAGACTTGGGTTACTCAACGTTAAATTTGATTTGATGCCTTCATGTGGCTTGTATGCAACTTCCGAAAATAACCGTGGCATTTTTCCTCATACTGCAGTCAGTGGGTCAGCCTTTGCACCTGTGAATCAGCTCAGTCTTTTCTGTCATGTACAGTAATTGGCTGCTCAGTTATGTAGTGCCATTTGCAGCCTCTTTTAGCTGCCTCTGTCAAACATGCCAAGTCCTTCTGCCAGTAGTAAAGCACTTATAAATGAGCATTTTGGAATAAAAAGAGCATTTTATAAGCACTTGTAGCTAGATTCTGAAGAACAAAAGTACTTCTGGAAGCGAAATATATAGAAATGGTAAGTAATTAAAAATGATTGTGTTTATGTAATGTAAAGAATGGTTGCTTTTATTGGCTGCATTTTAATCCATTTTACTGCAAAAGGGGGAAAGAAGGATTTTGATGTTCAAGAGTAAATAGTTCTTGAAAATGGCTAAGTTATGATACAAATAGCTAACAATATATAGCAGACTTTGTGGGTTCAGAAGAAAACAAGGATAATTTTACGTACAAAATTTTATTTCCTATATCCATACGTTAGACAGAACATGAGACTAACGGGTCAGCGCATGCCAGTTACTGTCAATTGACAGTAAATTGAGCTTGACAACATTAAACTAAAACAGAGTGCAACGCAGTTTAGAGAATACGTCAGAATGAATACGGACTCGACAGAGGTGCTGTTTATGTAACAACTCAATTCGTAGTCCTTTTATGTAATCTTACAGAAAATGGAGAGGTAACTTCAATACATGTTTGATAAGGTTCTTTGGTGGTATTGCACAGAACTCTTAACTTTCTGTAGTTACAAGGTTTTTACTTTTTAGAGTCTGCTATTCTATAATCTTCATCAATGTTTCTAACATAGGGTAAATCTGTTAAGGGAATTATATCTAAAATTTCTGAAATGAGATGTGGAGGTTTGTAGATGAGAAGGCATGCAAGAATTAATGTATGTATAATAATATTGACAGCTTGTTGTAAAGAAATCTTTGGCTTCTTTTTTAAGCTTCCTCCTTTCCTGAATTGTGACATGAGCCTATGGTGAACATCTATATATCATAGAATCAGAGAATTACTCAGGTTGGAAGTGATCTCTGCAGGTCATCTTGTGCAACCTCCTGCTGGAAGCAGTGTCACTGGTGGGATCAGACCAGATTCTCATACTCTTCTTCATCAGAGACTGAAACACCTTTGACTTTGATTAACTGAATCTTTTAAATATAAGCATGAATTTATTTTTTAAAAAAACCCTAACTTTTTCTGTCATGACTGTTCGTATAGTAGAACAGTATCTCTTAATATTCTATAGATTAAGGAATTATTTTTCTATAGGAAGTCCATCAAACAAAATAACATTTTGCTAGTCTAAAAATTCCTAAGAAGAGAACCTGGCCTTGAGAAGAATTTATTTCCTTGGCCTGTTTTTGGAACAAAGTTGTGTTAACTGAAGGATATAAATGGTTATTTTGAAGGGCATACTCTAGATTAAATGTGAAATACATGAGCTTTAGACAAGGGGCAGGGGGTGACTGGCTATGGTATTTCACAACAAAGATAACCAGACAGTAGTTTCTTCATACTACCTGAAATATGTCTTTGTCCAGCCAGATATTGCTAAGTCGAAGTGACAGAATTGCAATTATTTGAAAGCCTGTTCAAGGCTTTACTTGGCTCCCATTTGTAGGTCACTGTAGAATCACTCTTAAAGAGCTATTACAGAGCTGTTCTGCTTCTGTGTAGAATTACAGATTAAGTCGTCGTTTGTCCAAGCCACTGAAATGACTTGTCCAAGATCACGCAGGATCTGTGTGGCAGAGCACGCTGTTTGTACTCGGGTGCCCATTTCAGCTTACAAGAC